AGAGGACATGAGAAAGCAAGCCGCCAGGTCTGGGACTTGAACCGTGGTCAGCCATGTGGGAGTCCAGCACCTTTAACCACCATGCCGCTCACCAGCCCCACTATTTTTTTTTAAATAGTGTCATTTTTATTTCAGTAATCAAAATAAGCTTAGAAATAGCATTAATTTTTACCTTGATCTCTGTGTTTAGCACAGAAATTGTTTCTGGTCCTCATTTGAGTTGTTTTCTTCACTTGTTTTTCTTTACATTCTTTTCTTATGTTTTTTATGTTTCTACCTGACATAGGAAATGTACATTATGGATTATAGTGATTTTTTTTAATATATGAATACAATGTGTAATCATCAAATTGGGGTAATTAGCATACTCATCATCTCAAACATTTATCATGCTTCATGTTGGGAACATTCAAAATCCTCTCTCTTAGCTATTTTGGTACATAAGGTAAATTACTTTTAACTATAATTACCTTATAGAAGTAGAGAATACAACAGTGGTTACCACAGGCTGAGAATGGTAGATAGGAGAAGAAAATATGAAGATAATATTCTTCACTAATTTTTCAGTCAAATATTTAATTATGCCCATATCTTCTTTACTTTTCCTAAAGGGAAAAATAGTTATATTTTACTCACCAGAAAGAAACAGAGAGGGAGATTTAGAAATAACCCCCCAGGGGGGTGGTCATGCTACAGTTTCTTTTCCTTTATTGTCCGCTCGGGATTTGGGTCATGCATGAGCCTGTGCCCAGTGTGATTTTCAAGCTGCTGGATCCAGGACTTAAAATTAGCCATGTTGGATCCATTGCCTTTACCACTGTACCACTTACTGGCCCCAAGAGCCCTTTTTAAAACCGCTTATACCTGGGCCCCATCTCCTGTGATCAGATTCACTTGTCCTGAGTCAATCTCAGGTCTCAATATATATATATTTATTTTTAAATAAAGGTTTTCTTTATTTTCTTTTTTTTTAAATTATTTATTTAATTAGCCATGTTGGATCCATTGCCTTTACCACTGTACCACTTACTGGCCCCAAGAGCCCTTTTTAAAACCGCTTATACCTGGGCCCCATCTCCTGTGATCAGATTCACTTGTCCTGAGTCAATCTCAGGTCTCAATATATATATATTTATTTTTAAATAAAGGTTTTCTTTATTTTCTTTTTTTTTAAATTATTTATTTATTTAATTTTATTCATTCATTCATTCATTTTCATTTGACCAGTGAGAGACGCACAGAGAGAAGAGAAGGAAAGTGAGAAAGCATGCCACCAGGTCCGGGACTCGAACCTCAGTTGGCCATGTGGGAATGTCCAGCACTTAACCACCACGCCACCTGCTGGTCCCAGGTCTCAGTATTTTTTAAGACTGTTTCCAGTGTGCTATCAAGGTAAGGACTACTCAGTCAAAAATTTCCTGCAGGTTTATTATTCTTTTCAGTTAAAGCAGTCTTTGGCCAGTTAGTGGTATGGTGATTAAGGTGGCTCAATCCTGTATGGCTGACTGTGAGGTTCAAGTTGCATGCCCAGTGGGTTGAAAAACATGCTGGGTATGGTATGGCCATCTGCCCTGGGGCTGGGGCTGCTTTCTTACTTACCCCTGACCCCTCTGTCTCTGGTGAGTGCACATGCCCTATGGCAACAAAGACATGAGCAATCTTTTGCTTTCTTACCCTACCCCTATGTGCCTCTTCCCAGGGCCACCATAATCTGTTTTTTTGTTTTGTTTTGTTTTTTAACTGATTTGGTGTTTAACCAGTGTTTTCCTTTCTTTCTTTCTTTTTAACTTGCTGGAGGGCGAATGTGCTTTCCAGAAAGAGAGGGAGAAAGCAACCACCCACATGGGGAATGTTCATGCCACAGTCCCTTCTCTGTCCCTCCTTTTGGGATTTTGGGCACACATGGCATATGCACTCAGTGTTGCATCCAAGATTTGAACCATCTAGTCAACCATTTGAGGTCCAGCTTGCTTAACCACTACACCACAGGCTAGCCCAACCACTATCTTTCTAAACAAATGCTGGTATCAGTCGTTCTTGAGGGCCAACCCCATGGCCTCGTGGTTAAGGCAACTGGATCCCACACGTCCAGTCACATGGTTAGAGCCTCATCACCCAGCAGCTTGAAAAACATACCGTGTATGTCTGCAAAATCCAAACAGGCTGGAGAAACGGGAGAGAGGATTATCGTATGACCACGCCCCATGGCAATGAGAAAAAAGTATTTCTGGATTCTTCAGTTTTCTGCATTATGTGTTAATTTTTTATTATGAAAGACAACTTTAACTTTTTTCCTTTTCCTGTCCCCAACTAATTTTTCTATCCTTTACATCCTTGTATCCACATAATAGATCATTTCAATAAATGGGTAATTTATTTACATAATATTGATTGGCTTAATATTTAGCATTTATATTAGTGTGATTGTAAAAAATGCTTTCAACAGCTAACCCACGATTACTTTTCCTTTCCTACTTTTTACTTTTCCTAGAAAAACAGTTGTCTTTCTTGGCTTTCCTGAGCTTATCATTAATTCAACCCTAATTTCTTTACAAATGTTTAAACTTTTAAGCTGTTTGGATGTGTCTGCCAGGGTTTTCATTTTGTCTTTGTAATGAATTGTCTCCCAGCAGGCTGTGACCCTCTCCCTCTGCACACACTTCACAGCTCTCCCCGCAGAATCTCTTTTCGTTATTATCCTTGCAGTTTTTTTCTTTTTTGGGGGGGAATTTTTTTGCCATAGGGCATGTGCGCTCACCAGAAAGACAGAGAGAGACAGAAAGCCAGAAATCACCCCCCAGGGGGGATGGCCACACCACAATCCCTTCTCCATTCTCCTCTTGAGATCTTGGGCATGCATGCACATGCGCCTGGCATGAGTTTAAGCCACCGGGTCCAGGACTTAAGCCACGGTCGACTACGTGGGAGTCCAGCGACATAGCCATTACGCTAACTGCTGGTCCCTATCCTTACAGTTCTTCATGGCTCTGCTACATTGGAACCCTGGCTTCCTCTTTCTTAGTTTGCGCTCTTATTTTGGTTCCTCCCTTATAGTAGCATCCTTAGAAAGGTTGAATATGAAATAAAATACTTAAGGACGTGCACTTGTACAGGTGTCTCATTTGCACCCACGTCCACATGGCTTTGTGAGGTTAGAAAGTATTTCCCCTCTGAAGTCGGAGAGCATTACTGTGTTGCTTTCTAGTTTCCAGAAGTTTCCAAGAAGTGGAAAACACTCTAATTCTGAATTCTTTTTAGGAGTCCTGTTTTCAGTCTCTGGAAGCACATAGGATCGCTTCTTTGGACCCTAAGATTTTTCTGTTTCTTAACAAAGTTTTCTGTTCTGGGTTTACTTTTTTTTCTTCCTTTACTCATGAGAGTTTGTGCAGTCAGCAGCCAGCCATGTGGAATCCAGTTCTCTTAACCACCAGCCTCCTTGATTTACATTTTTTTAAAGAATTATTTATTTTGGAAACCAGCAGTTAGCATTAATGGCTATGTCGCTGGACTCCCACGTAGTTGACCGTGGTTTGCGTCCTGGACCCGGTGGCTTAAAACTCATGCCCGGCACGTGCGCGTGCGTGCCCAAGATCCCGAGAGGAGACTGGAGGAGAATGGAGGAGAAGGGATTGCGGCGTGGCCATCCCCCCGGGGGGTGATTACTCGCTTTCTGTCTCTATGTCTCTCTCTGTCTGTCTGGTGAGTGCACACGCCCTATAGCGAAAAACCTCTGCAAAAAAAAAGAGAATTATTTATTTTATTTTATTTATTTTTTATTATTTTTAAATTTTAACAGAGAGCGAGAGCGAGAGAAAATGAGAAAGCAAGTGCCAGGTCTAGGACTCAAACCATGATGGGCCATATGAGACTCCAGTGCCTTCACCAGTACACCACCTGCTAATTCCAGTACCACACATTTTTGATTATTCAGGCTTTAAAGCCTATTTTATTGTCTGATGAGTCTAGTTCCTATTCTTTCTCAGTTTTCCTGGCTAATCTAATTTTTCCATATGAACCTTAGAATTGCCCTTTCTAATTGCAGGGAAAAAAAGTCTATGACTATTCTTACTGAGATTGGTCGACGTTTTAAGAAATTAGTATTATCAGTTTTCAGAATGAATTTGACTCCAAGAACATAAAACCTTTTTTATATGTTCAAGTCTTTGTTTTAATTATTTGGGAGCATTTCAAGATTGTTTTCATTTCTCATTAAGTTTCACTCCTAGCGGGGCCGGCAGGTATTGTGGTGGCTGGACTCCCACATGGCCGACCATGGTTCGAGTCTCAGACCTGGCAACTTGCTTTTTCACTTTCCCTCTGTCACTCTCTCTGTCTCTTGCCCTGTCCTTCTCTGGTCAAATAAAAATTAATTAATTATTTTAAAAAGTTCACTCCTAGGAGTTTTATCTTTATTATTGCCTTCCTTCCATGTAGAACTGCCTTTAAGGAAAGGGTACCCTTCATTATGCAAAGGGTACTCTAGTTTGTCAGCTTAATTCACACTGTAAACTAACATCCTTTATGCATCATTCTGTGCGAGCAATCATGGCTGACAGTCAAGAGAGGGATCCACACTACACATACTGTGTAGCAGGTTTTGGAGCCTTCCAGGCCAAAAGTCATATCCGAGGTCTTGGAAAATTCAACACCACAAGTACAAGCACGTGTTACCTAAAGTAGTCCCTTGGTTGACAATTAGATGACCTCTCTGCAATGCTACAGTCATGTACATGTCTTTATTTGAAAAATTAGTAGTTCACTCAGGAGACTAAAAATAGTGACTATTATTTTGAGTGAGAGCTTTTAGGAAAGCTTGTTCCATGGGGTAATTTTCTGAGTAGCAATCTCTTCAGCTGTTCCTATTCTTTCTGCCTCTGCGTATGAGTTAGAAGGTTCCATCTGTACCTTGACGATGTGCTTTGAAGAACTACTAAGTACTATCTTTGGTCAAATTTTTACTGAAAGTTTTAAATTCTTATATATTACAGAATTTCAAAAAATTGTTTGGCCAGCCACTAGTCTGCTTGCTTTCTCCTACGACATATCCAAAAGCTTTACAAGGTATGTTCCCTCATTACCCGTTACGCCCGTAGGTTGTGAATAAAGACTGTTGACATTTTGAATAATGCTGATCTTTGTTTTCCCTCTTATAATGGTCACCTTTGGGTTTATGGTGTGTAATGTGGCAGGTGTCAATCTGAAATATACCCAAAGCCTTGCCAATAATCAGACTTCCTTAACATGCTGCCATTATGCCTTGAGATAATTAATCCCTAAGAAAGAGGTGGTTTCTCCCTTGGTGTTGGTGAACTCATGATTCATAAATTTAAAAAATTGTCTTACAGGGTTTACTTTCATTTGCTTTCATGGCCACATAGAGCAATTTCCTGTATCTTTGGCTACACATTTTAGACATCTTTTAAGACTGTAGATTGCTGGCGTAGGAAACTTCTCAGCCTGTGCCTAAGAGTTACCATAACCTATCTGGCACTACTTACAGGGTTTCTTTTATTTGCATTTTTACCTTGCTGTACTTTTTAAATAAAAGAACCTCTTCAAAGTCTGCCAGAGAGACAGAGTAGTGTTTTGGCCATTTCTCCATTGTCTGAGAATTGAAAGATGCTTGTGCTTAATGATTTGTCCTTAGGTAACACATAAATCTAATTCTAACTCCCAGTCATTCAGTAGATAAAATACTAAACAGACCTTACCACTGTCTTAGCAGTCCTTGTCACTGTTTCACTATCTCCCTAACTGCGAATAGTGCTGATGTCTCTCTGTGGGAGATGGCATTTACTGCTACTTCCCAGCCAGAAGTCCTGTCTGCTGACATAGTTTGACACAGGAAGTGATGGTCAGCATTTGAATGCCTGAGAGAAGCTGGAGACTCTCACCGTTGTTTTAAGGTAAGTTCTGCTATTCAACAGGGAAAAATGTGTAGAAATAATAAGTCGATGTATTCAAAGTCAAAGTACTAAGGGCTAGAACTTACCTTCAAACAACGGTAAAATTCTCCTGCTTAGAGGATTTTGATTTCCTTCCTTTTTTTCTTTTTTTTTTTTCCCCCATCATTTCTAGAGGAAGGTAATCCCTTCCAATTATTTGAGAGAACTTTTTGCTATCAGTCTGTCCTATAGTGATATGACTTTACTTAAAACTATATAATTTTACTAGAAAATTACATGGTAAAATGGCTTAGTACCAAGATTATTTGGTCTGAAAGACTTCATCGGATAAAGGAGAAAAAGCAGACTTTGAAGGCAGACTGACTGAATCTGAATCCCATCTCAGCTACTCACTAGCTATGTGACCTTGGGAAATTACTCAGCCATTCTGTGCCTCAGTGTCTGCATCTAGCAAAAATGGAAATAATAATATTACCTACTTCATGGAATATCATGGGCTACTAGTAAGTACTCAGTATGTGCTGTCATTAATATGCACACTTGTAATACACATCCTTAGCATTCTTGGGTCCAGTATCCTATCTTTATGTAGTAACATTTAGACTTCTAATACTTAAATGAATGATGCATTCACATCAGCAGAGTCAGCACTCTTCTGTGAGATACATTTCGGATTCATCCACAAGCATTGCTACTCTACCTTGCAAAAGGGGTTGTCCCTCCATCTGGGCACAAAACTAGCAGATAATAAGTAGTTGGAACATCAGATAAGGCTCCTGCACTTCTGATACCTAAAACCTGTAGTTCTCTCTTTAGCCAAGAGTTAATTTATTCATTCAACAATTTACTCACCATTTATTTATTTATCAGATACTGTACTAGTTACTAGAGAGAGCTCTATGACTTACCAAACACAGTTACGTTTCTTCCCAAGCCAAATGTCTAGTAGGAGATACGGACACCCTAACACGCAATTACTGTTGAATGCCAGAAGTGTTTCACAGAAGGGTAGGAGGAGACTCCGGAACAAGGAACTCCTAAGCGGCATGTGTGGGTGAAGGAGAAGGGTGAGATGATGTCTAAAGTGGACCTTAAGCACATGTAGAATTAGATGGGGATGGGGAAATGACTGAACAAGAATGTTCCAGAAGAGAAATTGCAGGTGTGATGTCCCTGAGAAAGGGGAGCTTATGGAATACTTTGAGAAATTAAACTAGTTCCTTCTAACTAAACGGTACAGTTTGGGATTGTGTGACTGAATTATAGGAAACCTTTGAAGATTTGTTAAGTGACATACTGGAGGACAATTGGGTAACATCATAGATTTTATAAAGAGTAGTATAAATGAGCATTTAATTAACTTCATGGAGAATGAGTTAGAGAGGGGCATTGATAGAAACAGTGGGATGATGGTAACCAGACAGTAACTGAGTAACTGGCCTCCAGAGACACAAAGCCCACAGAACCACCAGAACTTAATGATGGCTGGGGTGGGGGAGGAAAGGAGGAAGAAAGCAGAGTTGGACTTCTAGGTTTCTGGGTAAGGTACTAGCGCATATGAGGATACTTGCTGAGAAGCAGATTTGTAGAGAACAAAGGAAGGAAGAATTTGTTTTCAGTTGTTTTCTTTTTCAATAGTTTATTCATCCATTTCCAGAGAGAGAAAGACAAACACCTTAAGGGGGTCACATACTGTGCTCCCACAGCCCTGCCAGCCTTTCCTCACCAGCTGGGATCATGGACGCACACACACACCTGTTGTGCACGGGTCCACTTGGGAACTGAACCCCAGTCTTCCATACTGCCTCCTGCACTGCACACTATCACACTCCCACTGCACCCAGAGGTCGGGCTCTGCTTTCAGTCATGGTCATGCTGAGTTTGAGAAGCCTTTGAGAGTTAGGTGGAGTCTAGTCTACACCTGCTATCTAGTAGGAGTGCAGTGTGACTTACAGCTGTAACTTAAACATTCCT